TATTGACATAGCGTGCATCAAGTGCCCACCCGGACCGCCTGGACCTCCTGGGATGGCTGGACCACCAGGAATGCCCGGAAATCAAGGTCCTCCAGGACGTCCTGGACCAAAAGGTAATGATGGGGGGTGCGGTTCAGCCGGTCTACCAGGAGACGCTGGACCACCTGGCATGCCAGGACCAGCTGGGATGCCTGGTCCCCCTGGAAAGGAGGGCATCAAAGGTCATGGAAAGCCCGGACCACCTGGACCACCTGGGCCTCAGGGACCTCAAGGAAATCCTGGGCGTGGTGGAAGTCCAGGGCCTACTGGCGCTCCCGGGGACGCAAATCAGGGACCAACTGGAGAGGCCTGGTGCGCCAGGAAGCCCGGGATGCTGACTGGAACTCCTGGTGGAATTCCCTGGAGCCACCATGGTGGATTCAGGAGGCCGTGCTCACTTAAAACGTCCATGGTCCTCCTCACTTTCAAAGGCCATATGAAACCGTGATATAACTCCTGCCAAGGAAGTTTTGCCCATACCGTTGCCCTCGACTGCCAACAAGAAGCGTCAAGCTCCCATCATTGAGCGCCATTCGACTCCCATCAAGGAGAGTCAGTCAGCTAAAAATATTGAGCGCCAATTGACTCACAACATGAAGCGCCGTTTGGCCCACAACATTGAGCGCCACCTGGCTCGCAACTTGAAGCGCCATTCGACTCATATCGCGAACCAGCACTCGGTTTTCAACAGGATCCATCACCCGACTTCTCACAAAAGACGAAAATACCACAAATACCGCAATTATTGAAATTAACTGGTTGATGTTTTCTTAGTATTGATCGTTTGCGGACCGCTGTAAATTATGGCAAATAAATCATAATTTAGTGCAATATGTAATGTTTGGTAACAAAATAACTCTTACTGAAAGGGCACTTCCACTGAAGGAAAGAAAGCTTTCGAAGAAGATAACCAGCTTAAGGCGTTTCAGTTGCCCAGAAAGGCCTAAAATCTGGTTATCTTCTTTAAAAGCTTAAAAATATGTACGAATAGGTGTCGAGATCTGATCGCATAGGTGAATCTTTAATTTAATGTCCTGAAGTCTCCAAAGAGTTGTGGTCCACAGTTATCGTCTCCATGGAGACATGGGCGGAGACAGTGAACCACTTTGTCTCCTCCAACGGCGAGCAGCTCTCTGTAACAGCCCCTTCGAATTTAGAGCTCTATCACTCTAAGCCCAGAAGACAAACTGCTTGAAGAAGGGGTTGAGTAAAAGGAATAGGTGAGCAGTTGAAGCGACCGCTTGAAGATAAGCAGTTCATTCACTTCTGTGGTTCCTTGCCAAGTGTTAGGTGAATGGGTCCACAGCTGCGGTATGCGAGGTGAGGGGTCCTGCAGTATGTGAGGTGAGGAGGTTACCGTAGCGTATTCCCTTCGCTCAAAAGTGCAGGGGACGGGGCTGAAGGAGCTGATACCAGGATCAAGTCTTCTGACTCCGCAGGCGTGTAAAGCGCTTGACAGTTCGTGATGATGTTCGCCACTGGTTTTGGACACTGAGATATCCATTGGGAACGGGTCCATCATAAATGGGAGGGGCAGGCTTTTCATAGGACTTTTGGAAGTGGTCAAAAGACGAAGTACACATTTCCCTCGTTGGATCGTGGTTCTCCGCATTGTAAGTGTGGAGAATGGGCTCTCAAGTACAGTAGCCACTTTCTCCGCTTACGACATGGGAAGGGATGGAGGGAAGTAATGCCCGCATATGGTCTCCATATTCTGCCCTCGCTGCCGCATTTGGTTGTGGCTAGCCAGGCGCCCAGCCACAACCAAATGCGCTATTTGTCTGCTGCTCTACTGTCTCATGATTCTTCTTCCACCATTGAGAAACGGATTATGACTGTATCGTTGCGCCGATTCCGGTATACGCAGAGGCCATGGCCATATACAACGCACTCGTGCAAGCGCTGCCACCGCGAGGATAGCCGCGGATGGGGTGGTACTCGTGCCGTACCATTACCCGCACACACCGCATTTCTCGTAGCAGCTTTTGACGGACTAAAAACGGCACGCTACTGCATGTTGCAGATTCCTATTCTCCCCACTATTACGTGCAAGGGCCAGGATCCACGGAGGGGAATGTGCAGGTTGTCTTCAGAGCCTTTTAAAAAAACATAAATATCTATCTATGCCTCCCGGAAAAATCGAGGAAGGTGAATGACTGTAAGTACGCTTTCAAGTCGACGAGTGGTGATGGATGTCACGCATCTTCCTGCGGTGATGATAGGATGAGGCTAGAGAACACGGGCTCACTGACAGGCGACTGGTATCGACCAATTATGATTGCGCTTCAATGCCCTTTCACGGGTTTCATACCCACGAGTGGCCGCAGGATCTATGAGAAAACATCTTGAACTTTTTTTGACCCCCAAACTGCCCGCTAAACATGGATATCACTGTCCCCTGCTGAGGGAGAAGAAATTGCACTTTTTCTGAGAGGAAATTGCAGTCTTTCGATGTTATCGCCTTTTTTACTTGGACGTGGATAAATATTTATATTTTTTCGTTTCTTCATGAATATTATTGTCGTCATGCTTGTACAATACTGAAGGCATATGGCACGATAATTTGGTACTCGGTCTGGAATGCTAGCAAGGTACATATTGGGAAATAAGGAAAAACTAAGCGAAACGGTCAAAAACTCGCAGAAAAGCCTTTGTTCTTCACGACTCAGAAAGCAATTTCGGACGAGTTTCCCTCAGGCATCTTGCCAATAACGCTACGGTAGGTACGCTGCATGTTACTACTCATAGTATATCCATGGGGCCACCGCGGACCGCTTCATGCCAATCCCTTCGCTTCACATTTTACTTAGCAAATGAAGCAATATTAGCATCAGGTACGGTTGTCCATTTGTGGGCAGACGGGCGCGCTGGGCATCTGGATCAGCATCTTGGAGATTTATAGCCCTTTATAAGTGTACATTCCTTGAGAAAGGCGCTACGCAGCGCCTGCTCGAGAGTGCGAAATTCCGTCCTGCCACTCGTATTAGTCCTACTCATGGAAGGGATTGATCTTGACAACTTCCTTTGAACAGGAAGGTTCGAGTGTGGGTAACGGGCCAAAGTACGACTTCAGTCTCGTGGGCAGTCATTGTGGTGAAGAGAACAGTGAGCCTGGACTCAAAATGCGATAAACAGGGAGGGGGTAAAAAAAGTCACTTCGACCGAGTCACATATCAGCAAAGTTTTCGCAGCCCAGACAGAGACGTGGATACGAGTACCAGGGCGGAAGATACCCAAGATGTTCCTCTATGAAGCAGGAGCTGGCTCTTGCCCATCACCTCCACGTACAATCGCTCACCCATGGATAGCTACCTGGAGACCAGCACTCTTGATCTGGAAGACCTCCAACATCGAGCAGCTCCGACAACGTCGCTACGGTCCAGGATATCATCTTCACCGCAGTCGCCAAGGCGCGGGTTGATGGTACGGAAGTTCCTGGAATGGGAAGACCGATATTTTCTTCGTGGACCCCGGACTGAAAGTGAACGCTGACGATTACATCGACCAACTCGAGGAGAATATCCTGCCTTCATGTCGTCGCCCGTACCATCTTGGAAACTTTGTACTGCTACAGGATTGGGTGCCACCACATGGAATCGAAGGGCGTTGGAAAAACTCTCGCCTACTTGGAATGGAAGGGCGTTGAGTACCTGAAGAAGGTGGAATATCCAAGTGTGCCACCTGCTCCTAAACTCCTCGATTACCGTGTTTGGAAGGAGCTCAACAGGGTGGTCTACAGTGGCGGAGAAATCAACGACCTCGCTGAACTCAGGCACCGAATCACGGTCGCGTGGCAGAATCTCTCGATGGCGCTCGTCCAGAAGGCTGTGGCGGAGTATCGTGATAGTGTACAATGTGTTGTTGATATGATGTCAGAAAAGTCCAATTAGATCCTGCGTAGGTGTGGTCTCGACGATCTAGTCCGTGTAGTCGAGATCCCCCTGCGAACCTTAGGAAACAGCTGATTCGCAACCGCGGGTACGATCAATACTGTATTACCCCGGATTGTGTCATTTGTCCTCATGGTCGACTGGGTGATTGCATGAGATCAGGCGAGATCTACCTGATATCATGTGCTATGTGGGGATGA